TGTCAACTGTTAGGCTTTTTTGGTAGGTTAATTGGCCAAATAGTCAGCCTTTACACTGAAGATCTCCTAAATGTCTGTTTCTAAAGGTCTTTTATCAGGGACCATTCAATTTCTTCATGAAAGAAGGCTTTACTTTCCTGCCGGGAAGATATGGTCCTGGTTGTTGTAATGGGCTTTCACTTGATCTCCTTGTTTCTAGCCCAGTGCCTCACACCACTTCCTACTATACCTGGGGTTCCCCAAGTCTGGAGCTATTCTGATTCATTTTTCTCTAAAAAAAATACCCCCTGTCTCTTCCAGGGGTAGGAGAGAGGAGAGAGTGGAGGCTGTTTATACTGACGTTCAACCACTCTGTTTTCAGCCCCATGCCATTCCTCCACTTTCCATGGTACCTGGTGACCTCATTCTTGAGCTCTTCTGGAGCTGTGAGGGCAATAAATAAGGCATGCTTCCTGCTGCTATACCCCCTCTAAAAGCACTTAGGTCCTTTAACTTCCTCCTGTTATGACTCTTTTATCTACTTTTCACATTTCTATGTTGTGGTTCAAATTACACAAGTCAGAATTCTAATTTAAAGATCACGTTTCTGTTTCTTATTCTCCTTGATGTTTTGGGTGATTATTTACCAGAAGAGAAGAAGACAAAAACAACTTTATTTTGCCATTTAAAGACTGCAAGTTTCCCTCATATGCTTTTGTATCTCCAACAACCTAGCAGAGTTCTTGGCACCTAATAGAAATTCATTAAGTGCTTGGTTAATGAATGATTAGCTGTAGTCAGAGTTCAGACTAAGCTGCTAAAACAAAAAGACCCCAAAATGTAATGGCTCAAACAAGATAAGTGCCTTTTTTTTTCTCACGGAGCAGTCCATAGGTAAGAGGGTAAATCAGGGTGAGGAGGTAGCACACGATCATTAGGTCAATAAAGGACCCAGGCGTCTTCTCTCCTGTTACTCTCCATCCATCCTACAGTCTTGTTGTGGTCAAAACTGGTTATTCAGCATACCCTGTGTTCTAGCCCATTAAAAAGGGGCCAATCAACCTACAAGAAAGCCTACTAGTTGACAAGCTCCATACGTACAACTATCATCTCACAGTTTCTATGGGCCAAGAATCTGGGCTAACAAATGTGTGAGCTTGGAAGAAGAACCTTTTATCATCAAGGTTCAGATGAGAACCTAGCCCCAGCCAACTCCTTCACTGCAGTCTGTGAGAGACCCTGAACCAAAGGACCCCATTAAGCTGTGCCCAGATTAATGACCCACAGAAACTGTGAGATAAGAAATGTATGTTGTAGACGAACCATGAGAGACGATGGACTCTGAAAAACAAACTGAGGGTTCTAGAGGGGAGGGGGGTGGGGGGATGGGTTAGCCTGGTGATGGGTATTAAAGAGGGCACGTATTGAATGGAGCACTAGGTGTTATGCACAAACAATGAATCATGGAACACTACATCAAAAACTAATGATGTGATGTATGGTGATTAACATAACAATAAAAAAGAAATGTATGTTGTTTTAAGCTACTAAGTCTGAGGTAATTTGATATGCATCAAATAGATAACTAATGCAACATCTCAACTTTTGTTATTTAAATTATCAGTAATTGACAAAATGAAAACTTTTAGTTGTACATTAAAGGCAAGTACAATTTAAAAGTATAAGGCTAATAGATATTTTGACAATCTTTTGGATTTAATACCATCAATGAAATAGTAAATATTAGGCTTTTTATACTCAATCCTAATTCCTATAATCTGGAATGATCTGCTCAACAACTTCACCCATATTGCTAGTAATACCGTAGTCCTGTACCTTTTTTTTTTTTTTTTGAGTGAGTGTGAGCTAATGAGTGAGTGCGGGTGGGGGAGGGAGGGGGAGAGGAAGGGGGACAGCTCCCAGTGTGGAGCTCGATGTAGGGCTCGATATCACAACCCTGTCCTGCACCTTTTCAACCTGGTTATAAAATGCAATTTTCTTCCAGATGTAATGTTACTGATGTCATGAGTACTCTGAGGGAAAGTATGAGCCATATAATATCACAATGGAAAATGTTTCTAGGCTACAGAGAGAATAAAAAATTTGAAGGTTTTCCTTCCAAAGAAATTGTTACCTAAGAAAAACAGGTAACTGGTGGCAGAAAAACTCAGTACTAATGCTTACTGTTTGTTTTTATGTTTGCTTAAATGCTAATAAATATATACTCCAGATGAATGAAACAGAATGCCTCATATGGCCTGGGAGGTACAGAAATCTAGACTAAATGTGAAGGTAACCTCAGGCACAGGTCCCATGCTTGGGCCCCATTATGCATTCATTTAATTAACAAGCACTTATTGAATACCTACCGGATACTGGATACAAAACAAGGAATAAGTCAGACATGGTCAAGCTCACAGTTTAGTAGGGAATAAGTAAATAAGTAATGGAATCTAATGTGGTATTCCCATTTAGGGTTCTCATAGGCTGCTATGGCAGCACAAAGGAAAAACGCTTAACTCAAAGCCGAAATGGAACTCGTAGTTGTGCCAGGAAGATGTCTCAGTTGAAGTGATATCAAACTTGGATCTGAATGATGATTGGGAGTTAACTGGAAGGGGTACTAGGGGAAAAGAATTCTGAGAGAGGGAGTATTACCTATGAAGACCTAGGAACAAAAGAAAACCTGATGCATTGGAGTGACCACTCTCTCAAGAGGGGGCAGAGGAATACAGCTGGGGAGGATACAGAGAAGTACACAAAGACCTTATTATAAAGGGCCTGATAGGTCACACTGCAGTGTTTGGGCTTCATTTAAAGGAAGCACAAAACTACTGAAGGATTTGAAGAAGATTACAATGATCTCACTCTTCCATAACTGACAAAATGTTCATGACAAATTGATTTCTGAAAACTTTCCAAATGTTAAAAAGCATATAGAAACATTTAACATTTTTTAAAGATTATTTATTTGATCTTTATTTATTTGAGAGAGAGAGAGAGAGAGAGCTCACACGAGCAGGAGGAGGGGCAGAGGGCAAGGGAGAAGGAGAAGCAGACTCCCCGCTGAGCAGGGAGACCGATATGGGTCTTAATCCCAGGACCCTGGGATTATGACCTGAGCCAAAGGCAGATGCTTAACTGAGTGAGCCACCCAGGTGCCCCAACATTTAACAATTTTATGTATTAGCAATAATCAGATAGAAGACAGGAGAAAAGAAATCCCATTGCATTATAACAAAAACTATAAAATACCCATGAATTTATCTTTTTTTTCTTTTTAAAGATTTTATTTTATTTATCTGAGAGCGAGAGAGAGAGCACAAGAGGGGGTAGGGTCAGAAGGAGAAGCAGACTCCCCGCTTAGCAGGGAGCCCAATGCGGGACTCGATCTGGGGACTCCGGGATCATGACCTGAGCCAAAGGCAGTCACTCAACCAACTGAGCCACCCAGGTGCCCCCACCATGAATTATCTTAATAAATTAATGTACAAAACTATATATAAGAAACCATAAAATTTTTATAAAGTATATAAAAGAATGTCAATAAATGTTTTGGGGATGTGAAGACTCAACATTATTAAAATAATTTTCTTCATGTTAATTAGCAAATTTAATGGAATTTTTATAAAATCCCAATAACTTTTTCAGGAGTACTTGATAAACTGATTGTAAAGTTTATCTGGAAGATGCGAAGACCACAATTTTGGAAAAAAAAAAGAAAGGTGGGAGGGCTTGCCTTGCTACATATAAAAAACATATAATAAAAGCACAGTAATTGAAAATATATGTGAAGTCAAGACATTCAGGGATGCTATGGGTTGAACTGTGTCTTCCAAAAAGGTATGTTCAATTTCTAATCCCAGTACCTGTGAGTGTGATCTTTTTTGAACACAGGGTCTTTGTAGATTCAATAATACTAAAATGAGGTCATACAGGAGTAAGGTGGGCCGTAATCCAGTAACCGGTATCCTTATGTGAAGAAGGAAATTTGGACATGGAGACACATAAGGAAAACGCCATGTGACAACAGAGGTAAAGAATGGAGTGATGTGGCCAAGGAATGCCAAGGACTGCTGGCAGCTACCAGAAGCTGGAAAAAGCAAGGAAAGATCCCCTCCCAGGGCCTTCAAAGAGCATGGCTCTGTGGACACAGATTTTGGTGTCCTCCTGACTGTGAGATAATAAATTTCTGTTATTTTAAGCCACCCAGTTCGTAGTATTTTGTTAGGGCAGCCCTAGGAAACTAACATCAGAAGAATATGGCAATTTTATTTTAAGCCACCCAGTTCGTAGTATTTTGTTAGGGCAGCCCTAGGAAACTAACACCAGGAGAATATGGCAATTTTATATATGATAAAAGAGAAATCTCAAATAAGTTGAATAGGTTTTATTTGTTCAGTAAGTAGAGATTAGGACAACAAGCAATTTGGAAAAAGTTAGATTTCTATGTCATAATGGGTACTACAATTCCAAGTAGACCACAGATCTAAATGTAAAACACAAAACTATAGAGGTGGTAGATGAAAATTTAAGAGGTTATTTTTATAACCTTGGTGCAGGAAAGGATCTTCTAACCCAAAACACAAAACCCAGAAGCCAGATCTGACCATTTAAAAATGAAAACTTCTGTATACAATGAAAGACCACATAATCAATGTTAAAAAATAGGGAGAAAATATTTGCAAGATACATTAAAGACATGGGAGTTAATATCCAGAATATATATGATCACACAGACCCCAAGGAGATAAGCAACCAAAAACACAAAGGCCAGTAATACATGGATACTCAACTTCATTAATAATCAAATGAGATGAAACTGAAATGAGAAAGTATTATTTATTTAGAGTGGCTCAAATGAAAAATAATTTCTAATAATATCCAGTGTTGAATAGGGTATGGTTGAACAGGTACTTTCATACGGTAACATTTTTACAAGCTTTTTGGTTTGGACAGCAATTTGGCAATGTCTACTGAAATTTATTTATTTTTTTTTTTATTTATTTAAGTAATCTCTATACCCAATGTGAGGCTTGAACTCACGATCCTGAGATTAAGAGTTGCATGCTCTTCCGACTGAGCCAACCAGGTGCTCCTATGTCTATTGAGATTTAAATGTTCATACCCCACAAACAATGAATCATGGAACACTACATCAAAAACTAATGATGTAATTAACATAACAATAAAAAATTATTTTAAAAAACCACAAACAATGAATCATGGAACACTACATCAAAAACTAATGATGTAATTAACATAACAATAAAAAATTATTAAATGTTCATACCCTTTGTTATAGCACATTCTTCTCTAAAACTATATCCTACTGAAACACAAGTTCACAAAAATAAATAGGGGGAAATTCCATTAAGTGTAGGACATGCATAAAATAGAGTATCATGCAACAGGGGTGCCTGGATGGCTTAGTCGGTTAAGTGTCCGACTCTTGGTTTCCACTCAGCTCATGACCTCAAGGTCCTGAGATGGAGCCCCATGTGGGGCTCTGTGCTCAGCACGGAGTCTGCCTGTCCCTCTCCCTCTGCTCCTCCCCACTGCCTTCCCCTGCTCTCTCTCTCTCTCAAATAAACAAATAAAATCTAAAAAAAATAGGAATATCATGCAACAATTTCAAAAGAAGATCTACATGTACTGTCATAAAAAGATGTTCTAGACTTTAAGTGAAAAGAGCAAGTTGGAGAATATACATATTTTGTAAATACCAGTAATAACTATCTTATGTACAGAATAAAATGAAGATACTAACTGTGCTAACAATGGATATCTTAAAGGCAGGAAAATTTATTAATTCATTTATGTAATATTTAATGAGTGTCTATTATGTGCCCGTCACTGGTCTAGGTGCTGGGGACATAGAAGTGAATAAAAAAACAAGATGAGGAAATGGTTAACATTCATCTTCTATGTTAATACTTCTATAAAGTATCACCTTTATATTTTTGTCTCTAATAAATCTTTGTTTAGTTTGATTTTTTTAAAAAAATAACCTTTAAGGGGGTACCTAGGTGGCTCAGTTGGTTAAGCATCTGCCTTTGGCTCAGGTCATGATCCCAGGGTCCTGGGATGGAGCCCCTCATGGGGCTCCCTGCTCAGTGGGGAGTCTACTTGTCCCTCTCCCTCCCCAACCCCTGCTCGTGCTCTCTCTCAAATAAATCAATAAAATCTTTAAAAATAAGCTTTAAGGTACTAATGAAAAACTTTCAACAATATAAAGCAATTTGTTTTGTCATTCTCTTAAAATCAGTCTTATTAAACAGTTTTTAAAAATGGCACAGCATATTCAAGACTATATTTTGGTAAAATTAATGTGAAAGCATCAACAAGTTTCTAATACCATAAGATCATTACTGTGCTCAGTTTAAAAATAAGAATCCTTAAATTCTATGGTATCTGATTTATCTACAACCCTTATGATACGGTATTTTACTTACAGTTTGTGGATTAATCTCCTCCTCTCCCATAGGTTCATCCATAATTTGCTGTCCATTCTGTGAAAAGCACAGCAAGTAGAAAGTTACCAACACAGATTTCACATCCGTTAAAGTTAAATGAAGGCAGACAAAACAAAATCACATAGGAATATTTTCACCCCTACAGGGTTCTAATGAAGTACCAAACCACCATATAAGTATGTAGTTGCCAATATGCAACAGGTTGTGCTTTAAAAGTTAACTATAAAAACATTTTCCATGGAAATGATATAATAAATGATGATTACCTTTCCAGGTGAGCCCTTGAGGTTATTTTAATAGTTAAATGCATTACAAATGGTGTTATTTAAACCTCACTGAACATCATTTACAATACTTTCTTTGGCAAAACACATTCTAAATTCCAACTCCACTGATTAATCAGGGAAACTGATTATTTTGGGGGAAAAGTAAACTAGATCTCCATATCAAAATCAATTCCAGATGCATAAAACATTTAAATGTCAAAAATCAAATTATAGAAGTATTAGAAGAAAATATAGGTAAATAATATTTATGGGGTAAGGAGGGTGGAAATCATAAAGGAAAAAATAACATCTGAATCGATAAAAGTTTAAAATGTCATCTGTCAGACACAAAAAAGATAAAAGACAAATTGATTACAAAAAAAGCAACATATGACAAAGGGTTGGTATCCTCAATACATAAAGAACTTTGTTTTACAAACCTGTAAGAAAAAATGATGAACCTCAACAGAAATGAGCAATAAGGGAAAAAAGAGTTCAGCCTTAGTACTAATCAAATAAATGCATTTAACCGAAAGATACCTTTGCCTTTCAAACTGGTAATGATTAATAGAAAAAATAACACCCAGCACTAATATGAGTACAGGGAAAAGAGCACTCAGGATATACTGCTGGAGAAAGTATAAATCAGCACAACCTTTCAGGAAGGTAATCTAAGTCTGTATTAAAACAAGTGTGCAAAGATGTACATACAAGAATGCTCACCATAACTTTTTCCAAAAAGAACTCCAAATTGGAAACCTAAATTCTTAACAATAGAGAACTAGTTAAATATATGATGGTACATTCATATAATGGAATACTATACAGTCATTAAAAATGATAATAGAGATGTAAATTTATTGACATGGAAAGACAGTCACATGTAATAAGTGAAAAAGCAGTTTACAAAAAAATATGGATTGTAATGATCCCATTTTAAATAAATATATACATATTTCAATGTATATATTTGTATGGGAAAAACTCTGTAAGGATATACACCAAAATGTTAACAGTGGCTATTTCTGGGTGGTAGAATTTTAGACAATGTAAAATATGTTTGTTTTTGCATATCTGAATTTTCTAATGTGTCTACAATGAATATGTATTATTTGTGTAATTAATAACAAAACCAAACCAAACCAGAAGTCAAGAACACAGGGTCTTCTCTAGTTACTTCAATGGAAAAAGGAGTAAATGTCCTTGACCACTTGTCTATTCAACAAATGTAGAAGGATCTAAGCTAACCATCTTTGGAACATTACCAACTGAAAAATAAAAGGCAGCCCACCCATTATCCCACATCCCACATGAGGCAGATGCTCTGAATTTGAACTCTCTCTACTCTCCAAATCCCTATTTATCCATCCATTCATCCACCCATTTCATTTCATTCATGCTATGTTCTAGGCACCAAGCCGTAGATGAAAGGTTAATAAAACATGGCCCCCAACCTAGAGCTCTATCCTAGAGGATCTCACAGGTCTACTGACTTGTAAAAAGAGTACCTTTCATTTTCAAACACTCACAGAGTTACGTTCCTAGGTTAGGGAATGCCTATACAATATTACAAAGCACAGAAATGGTGCTATAAATGCAGAAAAGGGGAGGCAGTTATAAAATCTTTATTATCCTAGGACACTTTCAGAGACTATAGTATTGCCCACTTCTATGGTAAGGACTCAAATAACTCCAGGAGACATCTTTCTCCCAAAAGCCACAACCATTTATTCAACTGAATACTGATCATTTTTATCCAAACATCACAGACAAACTTTAAACTAGCTCTTAAGAACACTAGTTTTAGAGTCAGACACCTAGACTCAAATTTCTGCTCTTTAGCTAAGTATGAAGCCTTGGACAAGTTATTGAAACTAAGCTGTAGTTTCTTCGTATGAGAAGTAGAGACTTAAAAGTCTCACCTTCAGAGAGCTGTGGTAAAGACTAAGTGAGATAAGTGATATAAAACTCTTAAGCACAGTGCCTGACACTTAGTAAACAATCAATGGTAGCCATTTTAATTACATCCAAAATTCAGTCACCCCTTTTATGGCTCACCAATCTGCTACTTCTCCTATATTTGCTATCTTAGTGAATGGTACCATCATTCATCTAGTAGTACAAACTAGATTTTCTCATTAATTGGTAGGCAGAGTTCTCTTTCTATAATACAAATCTGCTGATTGGCTCCCAGTTATTTGACTTTTAGAAACCTTCATCTAACCGAGCTACAATTACACTTTCCATGGGAATATAATTTGAGAACCATCTGCTCCTTGCAATTTTCAATGTAATACAAAGCAAGAATTACAACTAATAACTTACTTTTAAGGTCAACTGGTATAGTAGAAACAGCACTAAACTTGGAATGGTAGACCAGCGATAGAGTCCTAGGTCTGCCACTTATAAGCTTTATTATTTTGGGCAATTCAGACTGTCTCCTACCTAGCCTATTATCTTATCTTTTCAAAATGAAGATACTTGCCTTATCTATCCAAAGGGTTATGTTAGACTCAAAACTGAGATAACTTAGAAGAAGTACTTTAAATCATAAAGCACTGTACCAATGCAAATTACTATTATTAAGGTGAGGTAGCTTCATGAGGATAAAATAATACTCCATAAAGTCCTTTTAATCTTGGAATCAAAACGTTTAGGATTGGTAAGGGATCTTGAAAGTCTCTCGTTCCAAATAAACATCATATGCTTCAATTCTTTTTTTGCCATTCTCACCTAGATTTGAACACTATCAGGACATGAATGTACTATCTTACCAGGCAGCCTAGATAAAATTCTTCATTATATAGTAATTTTCCTCAGCTACAAACTCCCTTTAGTAGGATTACTAATATATGATGACTAACTTGCCTGTATTCTATCTGTAAAATAACTGGAAGTAAATCTACACCTACGACAGTAAACCATCCTGAGTCTGTTCTTTACTAGCCAACTCAAGTTCCTTTAAACATTCCTTTCAGATAGATAAGACCACCTTCTTTTCTGAGCATGCACCCAATTCATCTTAAAGGCAGTATACAGAACTGCATTCAATTAATATTCTAGCCTTGATATGACTAATGAAGAGTAAAGAGCATATCACCTCCCTTGTCCTAGATAATAAACTTATATTAATGCAGTTCACATACGCATTATTTTTGATATGCCCAAAACACACTGCTGAGTCATACTAAATTTTCTGTTGATTAAATCCTTGCCTTCTTTATACTGCGACTAAGCCCTGTATACTTGTTGGTACACTTACTCTCATGAATAAAGCCTTAAATTTTAAGTTTTTGATTCATCTTTTTCTAGTTCTGATCCTCTATAGGATTGCTACAGCCTCTATGAAAAAGATTCTGAATCTGCTAATCAGCCTCTTCGCTATTTTCATCTTCATGTAATCCATAAATCTTATATTTCTTTTCTAAACAATTCACCCAGCCAATTAACAGTAATATACTAACAAAGCAATCTGAAAAAAAATTAAGTGAAACATGATCTAAAGGTAGTTTATGCTCTACCTTTTGCAAAAATATCTACTTCCTTTCTGAGTTTAGGAAAGACTGAAAATTTTGAACAATTTAATTTAAAGGAAGGAAAATATAAAAGCCAACATTATCCTACATATGGTGAAGCTTTACAAAAATTTACTTTAAAAAGCACTTTTACTTCAATCCTTTCATCAAAACAAAGATTCAAATATTACCTACTAGAAATGAGCATAATTACTCATGCAGCTAGTAAGTTTCCTTTCTGAAAAATGACTCCTGGCTTCACTAGAGATTAGGTTACATGGGCCATCAGTCTGACTTGATACTGCAATTTCTATAGTTCCAAAAGTTCAAGGAATAGTACCTATTAAATAAGAAAACTTATTTAATTTTAAGAAACGGAAAAAACATATGGTCTGCGTCTCACTAGTACCAGGTTTAAACCCCAGCTCTGTCACTTACTGCTATAGTTACATGGCCTTGGGCAAGTTACTCAACATTCTGAGCCTCAGTCTCTTCATCTGTAAGATGCATATAATATCTACCTCACAGGGATGTTGTACTTAAATGGATCCACCAAAGGATAGTAGATGCTCAGTAAATGCTACTTTCTGTTCCCTCTCTTTTGCCTGAATTGTGTAATATATACATTTCTACAGTTAACTTCTAAAGACATAATGCAATGAAGAAGTACAGGAGAGTGCTGAGATACTTGTTTTGCTACTTAATACAGCCAATTTCCCACCAACCAGGGTGAAAGAGATCATTCATAAGTGTAGTATATTTTTATACAATGTGGCCAAAGAATGAGTACAGACAAAAAAGAATAGTTTAAAAGTGAGGCAAATGTATTTATCCTCTCTCATCCCACCATTATGCCTTCCAGCCAAAAAACTGCAGAGCTTGGCAGATTGTACATATGCAAATATTATGTGAAATACTAGAAAAGGTTAGGAAATGCTAATCATGCTTTACTCTGTTAGTCTGAAATGTGTAAAAGTCAAAAATAAGAATAACATACAATATGGGTCTCATCAGAACAAATCAGACAAAGGAGACTGTTAGCTTGCATTTCAGCAGGAATTGTTTTCAAAATAACTTCTAAGGTTGTGGTACGAAATTATCACTAAAATCATCTTTCTGGTTTAAAAAGGATAAACAATTAAAAAAAAAATCAAACCAGTAATTCTGAACCAAGGTTTCAGGACTTCTAGAGTATTCCCAAGTATTTTAAGGAAAATTCTCAAATGTTAAAAATAAGAATATTTTACTAAATAAAAACTTCGTTTTAAGCAACTTTATTAAACAGATTGTTTTGTTGTAATGGTATGTTACAACAATGCACATTTCCAGGTTGCTGTTTGATACCTTTGAAGAAAATATAAAATACATTAAAAAAATGCTTTGAGTCCAGCAGATCATCATGTACAAGTATACTAGAACTAAAAAAATCATCTGTGACTGACAATATGCTACCTTGAGATTACTAGGAAATATCATCTACTGACATCCTCCTACATAGAAATGAAATATACATATGAACACTGGGAGAAAAGAATTCTTCACAGAGAATAAAAGCCTGAAATAATAGGAGAGGAGGAAAAGAAAGGGTCCAGAGGCCTGGTGTACTAATTTGGAGACCAGGTTGTAGGAATGAACAAGGACTGTATTTTTTTTAACCACCCTCAAGTTCCCACAAGTGTATTTGCCTTCCAAACTCCCTGAAATCAGCAGTGGCTCTCCTGCCCAAAGCATATGCAACAGGAGTCCCATGAAGCTGCTGAGGATGAGGCATGAGAAACCTCTCTTGAATTTCAGTTCAGATACCATCAAATTGTTCAGAATCCAAAGAATCTTCTATGCAATCACATTGAAACAATAACAAGCATTTTATATTCTTAATAAGGAATGTATATAATCCTTACCAATATGACAGGATTAAGAATCAGCTCCTCATTTATCCTAAGGAAATATCAGAGATGTGCATAAAGACTTATGTACAGTGATATTCATCATACTCATTATACTGAAAAATAGAAAACAATCTAAATGACCAACAGGGGACTGGTTAAATAAATCATAACACATCTATTCATATGTAGGAATACTATGCAATGGTTAAAATAAGGGCCTCAAAAAATTAATGATGCAAAAATATGCTTGTAATATATTAAATTAAAAAGGATACAAAACTATACAGCATGACCCAATTTTGTGCCCCCCCCCAACATGTGTGTATGTAACTGGAAAAACATATATCAAATCTTATCAGTAGTTACCTGGGTCCTAGGATTTTCTTCTTGTACTGTATTTTCAAAATTATATGCATTTATTATTTATTATTTTTATTTTTATGATGAGGAAAAAACACAATCAATATAATTGGAAAAATCCATTATTTCTAGTTAAGTTGCCCTTATGGGTTGCTTTGCTATTCCTCAAGCAACTGAAGGCCTGCTAGTACTCAAGACTGTTCTATTTTCTAGACTAGGGTAGAAATGACCTCTGGTTATATCTATGTTTTTAAGTTTTAGAGGACCCTTTCAAAGGCTTTTTTTTTTGTATGGTCCTGTTGTTGTGGCCTCAGAAAATAGATACACTTTAGGCCTGAATCCACCTTATGTTTTTTGGAGTGTACCCCTAAGGGGGAATTCTGCTTATGAAACAGGAGTATGTTGAGGTAAGAATAAAGAAATGAAAACACAGTAGCCAAAATTAAATCTGCATTGTGAATAGCAAATATTAGAATCGACACTGCAGAAAACGGAATCCATGCCACAGAGGACAAACTTGAATAAATGAAAAAATATGAAAGAAAAGATTAAAAAACTATGGAGGACAGACATAGAATAATAATCTATGAATAACAGATGTTCCTAAAGAAAAAAAAACAGAGCATTTTAATCAATCAAAAGTATAAGAAAACTTTCTAGTTCTGAAAAAAAAAAATACCTGAGACTGGAGACTGAGAAGGTTCAACAGAGATCATCAACACCAAGACATATCCTGGCAAATGTTTTTAAATTTCAAGGATAAAGATATAATCCTACAAGCATACAAGCAGAAAAAAATAGGTTATTTTCAAAGAAACTAAAATCAGAATGACCTCAGATTTTTCCTCTGCAACAATAAAATGCCAGAAGACAATGAAGTAATGACTTACAGAGAGTTGAAAGGGAAAAGTTATGATCTAAGAATTGTACACCTTGTCCTAGTTTTTCATGTACAAAGGTCACAGGAAATTATTCTTAGATCAGCAAAGTCTTATAAAATTTCACCATCCTGGTATTATCTTTTTTCATAAATTGTTCAAAGGTATATCCTAGACCATTGAAAGAGAATCAAAATAAGAACTTAAGAACACTGAGGTAGGGAAGAACTGGTGAAGTATACTGACATCAACTTAGTATCTAGAAACAAATGAATAAAATAATTAACCCCACTAAAGGAGAAAGGGTCAATAATGAAGAGTAAATAGTTGATATAAGTATATAAACAATATAAAACTTAGAAAGTTAAAGGTAAGATTTGTAATCTCAAGCTAAATTAATGTAGACTCAAATAAAAGAGGTAGTGGAAGAAGGGAGAAAAAGATTCTCAGTTCCCTCTGTCCTAAAAGGATTATTTAAAAACCACTATTTTTAGTAGTTAGCTAATAAATATAAATTTTGGAATGTTTTAAGAAACCATATGATAACCAAAAATTGTATTTATTACAGTCCAAATCACTAGAGAAGATAATAACTGGCAAAGACTGTAAAAACTACTTTACGAGAAGCATCACATTCAACCCTAAGAACATAAGGTAGGTATAATCACCCCTATTTTACAGATGAGGAAACCAAGGCTCAGCAAAGTTAGTGAATGGCAAGAGGAGGACTCAAACCCAGGTCTTTCTAGCTCTATAATTCTTTCTTCAGTATTTCATAACCTCCTCAAATAAAAACAATCCGTATGTCAGAAGAAGAAAAAAACAAACCACAAAGAGAGAACAAAAAACTTAAGATGATAGAAATCATTTCAAAAGAAATAATGTAAGAAATGTAAAGTTTAAAGTGTCTAATTTAAAGAAAGTGTCTTACTGGAATTTGATGCTATTACAGAATTACTGACATTTTTATGAGGGATAATGTTATGGTGGTTATGTGTTTTTAAAAGTCTTCATCTTTTAAGAAATATAAATGAAATATTTACATCTGAATATATGTATCTAGGATTTGCTTCAAAATAATCCACTGGAGCCAGGGAGGGGAAGAGAGAATGTGTGTGTGGGCATGAGGGGAGTACAGATAAAATAAGATTGGCCATGAGTTGACAATCTTGGAGGCTGGGTAATGGGAATATGGTAGTTCATTATACTATTCTCTCTATACTATTCTATACTGTGTGTTTGAAACACTTGATAATAAAAACTTTAAGAGTGACAGGTTATATTTAAAAGGTTAAAAAGCCCATACAATTATTTACTGCTTTAAAGAGAAACTCAAACAAAAGACATAAGACTAGAAAAGCATAAAGAAAAAGAGTGAGTTTGTAATATGGAGGCCAAAAATAAAATGTGAGGCAAAAACCTATAGCCAATTAAAAAGATCATCTGATTTGGACTAAAAATGCAATTAGCATTTAATACATATAGCGATAATTATTGCTATCATTTACTGAGCAATTACCACACATCAGGCAAGTGTTAAGTACTATAGATCACCTTTGATGCTTCTAACAACTCTGTGAGGCATTATCACTAATTTACAAATGAGGAAATTAAGCCAAGATGGGTATGTCAATCTTCTTAAGCACTATATCCTCAGCGCCTAGCAAAATGCCTGGCACAAAGTAGGTGCTCAATAAACATTTGTCAAATAAATAAGTCTAATATTGTGCCTAAGGCTAGTAAACAGGGCCTAAATTCAAACCCAAGTCTGAATCTAAAACCCCTGCTCTTAATCACATTTAAATCTTTTAATAATGATATATCTTAGTAAGAGTAAAAATGTTTTTTTCCTTCTGTGTATGTTTCACTATTTTTCAGATCTTCTACAATTAACATGTTATTTTTTCAAACAAGTCATTAAAAACATTAAATCACAGACTAACCACAATACACAAAAGATGTTTTGGGGACTATAACATGAAATGAACAAACATAAAACAGGAGGGGAAACTTTAGCACACTAGTATATGCTAGAATAAATGAAATAAGGACAAAGCATTTGAAGTAATTTACATTAGATTAGGTAGATATTGAATTTTATAATGTAAAAAGAATATGGGTTCTTTTCAAGTATCTATGAAAAATTATAAAGAGTATGTCTAGACCATAAAGTAAATCCAAAATCTTCAAAGCAGGAATTGTACAGATCATATTTTCTGATTATGATTAAGAAAGTGAATAAAGAAATAAAGCAGTCATTCAGAAATTAATATTCTTATAAAAAACTACTGGCTCAAGGAATTAATAACCACAGCCATCCCTTACGCAATGCTCATTTTGTTCAAAATACAGTGTTAGCCATGTTACATATATTCTCTCATTTAATCCCAATTAATCATTAATAAACCATGAGGTGTGTTATTATGTATAGCAGAGAAGAAAAAACTGAGTAACTTTTCCAAGATCACAGAGCTATTAGGTTTGCAGATAAGATAACCAAACCGAAGTCTGAATCCAAAGCTCATACTCCTACACAGAAATGCTGTTACAATTCATTAGACATCTACCTTTGCTCAGTTTTCTCTATAAAGTTTTTTAATCAAAAGTAGAGAAACCTAGAGTCCTCCATAACACATGTTCTTAAAGTGTCCATTTGTTAACTGTACTATCCTAAGAGGGTAATGGTTCAGTTTTCGAACATATTCATGTTCAGACATAATATTTAAAATCATAATCTCCTAAAAGCAATCCCTTTGAATATATTCACACTCTCAATAGGGCATTTAAAGAAGGAAGAAACCATAAAATTAGATAAAACAAAGTAGGGAATATAAGGTAAACATGATTTGCCATAAATTTATTTCTAAAAAGCAGTGTGACTGCGGAAAAGTCACTATTTTTTGGTACTTATCTGCAATCCGTAAGAGTTAGATGGAACCTTGGCCAGCATGGATTTGAAAGTTTGCCACAGGACTGTGGGCAAGTCCTTAAGCCTCTCTTGAGTTGTGGTTTCTTCATGCATAAAATATGTGGTTATCTAAGAGCTCTTCCAGCTTGACAATGTTATAATCTTGTGACTTTAATCCTTAAACTTTAAGGATTAAAGTTATTAAAGATTTTCTAGGGTTTTCACCTGAGGAAATTACTGATTCTGTATTTAAAGCTGTTTTTATGTTATTTCTTTTTTTTTTTTTTAGGAGAGGGAGAGAGAGAGAGAGAGAGAGAGAGAGAGAGTGTGTGTGTGTGTGTGTGCGCGCGCGCGTGCGCCCGCACACACAAAGGGAGGGAGAGACAGAATCTTAAGCAGGCTCCACGCCTCAGGACAGAGCCTGGGGATGCAGGGCTCCATCTCACAACCCTGAGATCATGACCTGAGCAGAAATCAAGAGTTGGGCACTTAACTGACTGAGCCACCCAGGCGCCCCTTTAAGTTATTTCTAAGTCTAATTCCTTCTTTTTTATCTGCATCCAAAATACAGTTTTATTTATATCCTTCAGCGGTGCCTTTGTACCCAACTGTAAACAAGGATAATGTCAAAGAATGATTGTATAAATGCTGTCACCTGAAAGAGAAGTACTAAGAAAAAGAAAACATTGTTTTTCTGTGAAGAGTAAGGAACCTAAAGCAATTTTATAATTTCCACAATCCAATTTTACTATTTTTTTAAGATTTTATTTTTAAGTAATTTCTACATCCAACATGGGGCTCAAACTTACAACCCCGAGATCAAGAGCTGCATGCTCCACTGACTGAGCCAGCCAGGTGCTCCCCATTTTACTATTCTTATTTCACTAGTGTTGAAAATTAAGTGTCAACTTGTTTTTTTAAGCTCCTCTATCTACTTCGAAACCTATTCCTGCCTTCCTAATACCTT